CTCCTCCTCCTTCTTCTCCTCGTCCTCCTCCTCCGCCTCCTCTTTCTCCTCCCCCCTTCTCCTCCTCGCCTCTGTTTGCGCGATCGTCATTGCTGCTGTTCCGTACTCCACACCCACTCCCGCCCCATCTCCCTCCTCATCCTCCTCTTATTTCTCTCTCTCCTCCCGCCTCAATCTGGTGCTCCTCCTCCTTCCTCCTCCTTCTCCTTCTCCTCCTTCCCCCATGCATCTCCTTCTTCTCCTCCTCGACCTCCTCGCTCGCCCCTTCCCCCTCGTAGAAACGATCATCACTCCGTTTTTCTCCCGTTTGACAGTCCCTTCTGCACCGTGCGGGTCCTGCAACAGGAGGAAGACGACGAAGGGGAAGAGTAAGAGGAGGCGGGGCAGAGGTGGTGGAGAAGGAGAGGAGGGCAACGCGGAGGAGGTAGGACGGGAGGCACGGTGACGGCGTGGAGAAGCCGAGGAGAGCAGCGAGGAGAAAGGGCGTGATGACGACGAAGAGCCGGGGGGGAAGAGGGGCGAGGACACCTCGGTCTTGATGCTGACCCCTGGAGCAACTGCGGCGGGCCCCTGCACTTTCCAGACGGGCCCGTGCGTTGGGATCCCGAACCTCGGGGCTGCCCTCCAAAAGATATGCTCCCGACCCTCTCCCCCTCTAATTAACAGGGGGTATGGCGACCCCAATCACTGCCTGTGGGGGTTTGACTCGACGACGCTTGGGGTCCAATGAAGTTTTTGCAGGGAGAACTCGGGGGCAGGGGGAACAACTGAGTCGACATCGCCTGCGAGCTTCGAGGAGGGGGGGGGGGGAGGCGGAAGACAACGCACAGAGACACGGACAGCGAGCGAAGATACTGGTGGGCATGAAAACAAGGATGTTGACAACCAGAAGAACAACGGGCTGGAACAACACATGACGCTACACGTACAGGGATGCGAAATACTCGGGCTGGGATTCAACAACCGCTCTCGCAGAATTTCTGGGCTGACAAATTTGCCATGTCTCGGTGCATCGTATACTATTCTTATCCGACTCCTCCTCCTCCCCCTCCTCCACCGCCTCCTCCTCCTCGTCCCCCATCTCCTCCTCCTCCTCCTCCTCCTCCTCCTCCTCCTCCTCCTCCTCCTTCCTCCGCCTCCTCTTCCTCTGGCGGACGCGCTCCTCCGTGCAGAGGTCGATTGCCCTTTGGAACTGGTGGGACATCGAGAGCAGGTGCACGGCCTGCCACTCGGGCCCCGGGGCGTCGAGGCGAGGCGTGTGAGCGTTAGGGGGGTCTGGAGGAAGGGGAAGGGGTACTAAAAGGAGCGGATGCGCCGGGGAGGGAGACGGAGGATCGGGGAGGGAGAGGAGAGACAGAGCACGGGAGATAGAGGAATGACAGGAGGAGGAGGAGGAGGAGGAGGAGGAGGAGGAGGAACGAAGGGGGGGAGAGAGGGAGACGACAGTTTGTGGGAGAGGGGGACGGGATAGAAGGGGGGTGGATGAGAAGAACATGGAGAGATTGTGGATGGGGGAAGGGGAACGGGATATGGCATATGTATACCATGAATATGTTTTGATGTGGACCTGACTCTCGGCATGCCCACCGTAAACATCCTCTCCCATATCGAGCCCTTCAACTTATCATCATCTCGCGCCTATTCCTCCCCCTCCTCCTCCTGGTCTGTCGGCCAAGGGTGAGTGCAAACTGCGAAGCGAAACACATTATTGCCCCTGGGTGCCCTGGAGTTGGCAGAATGTGCCGCCGCCTGGCATGCACCTTTCTGGTCTGTCGACAGTGGGTGCGTGCGAAACGCGAAGCGAAACAACTGATTGCCCCTGAAGCTACAAGTAGTGTATCTTCCCCCTCCTCCTCCTCCTCCTCCTCCTCTTCTTCCTCCTCCTCCTTTCCCTCCTCCCCCTCCTGCTCCTGCTCATGCTCTTCCTCCTCCTTCTGCTCCTGCTCCTCCTCCTACTCCTCCTCCTCCTCCCTCCTCCTCCCCCTCCCCCTCCTTCCTCCTACTACCTCCTCCTAATCTCCTCCTCTCCTTCCTCCCTCTCACTCTCCGCCCCCGCGCCGCCGCCGCCGCCGCGACGCCGCGCCCGCCGGCCTCTCCTCCTCCTCCTCCTCCTCCTCCTCCTCCTCCTCCTCTCCTCCTCCTCATCCTCCTCCTCCCCCTCCCCTCCCTCATCTCCTCCCCTCCTCCTCCTCCTGCTGCTCCTCCTCCTCCTCCTCCTCCTGCTGCTCCTCCCCTGTCTGGTCTGTCGACCAATGAGTGTGTATGTGTGTGCGCGCGAAATGTGGAGCGGCAGAACTACTTGCCCCTGAAGCTAGAAGTATTAGCTCCTCCTCATGTTCCTCCTCGTCGTCGTCGTCCTCCTCCTCCCGATTCGGGTTCTGCTGGGGTGAAACATCCATCTTGCATCGCTTGCTCCCCCGTCGATCAGATCTAAGAAAACGAGATGCGCCTTGTCATGCTGGCTGTGCTCCATGAAGAACTCGGCACATCTGGCCAAGACCTGCGCTGACTGGCCCCGTCAATGTGGGACTCTCCCAGCTGACCCTCGAATCCCAAAAGGCGGCCATGAAATGCATCACCTGACACTATGCACTTCACGGCCACATCCGATGGCGTCCAACTGCTCAATCGGACGACGCGCCATATCCCTTGCGGCGCCCAACGCCACGCCTCCGTCCCCATTCCGCTACAACGCCACTCTTGCGCCTCCGCTACCGCACCTCCTCCTCCTCCTTCTCCTCCACCTCTGCCTCCTTCTCCTCCCCTCACTCGTCAGCATCCTCCTGCGTGTCCTCGTCCTCGTCCTCATCCTCGTCCCTGCAGTCCTCATTTATGTCCCGTCCACGAACTGTCCCGAACCCTTTCATTCCTCCTTCCCTCCCCTCTCCTATCCCCCTCCCCCTCCTCCTCCTCCTCCTCCTCCTCCTCCTTCTAGCTTCCTCCTCCTCCGCTCCTCCCTCTTCCTCCTCCACCTCTCCTCCTCCTTCCTCCTCCTCCTCTCATGGCCTTCGCCTCTCCTCCTCCTCCTCTCCTCTCCTCCTCCTCTACTCTTTCTCTCCTCCTCCTCCTCCCTCCCCCCCCCCTCTCTCTCCTCCTCCCTCTCTCCTCTCTCCTCCTCCTCCTCCCCTCTCTCTCGTCCTCCTCCTCTTCCTCTTCCTCTTCCTCTTCCTCTTCCTCTTCCTCCTCCTCTTCCTCCTCCTCCTCCTCCTCCTCGTCCTCATCCTCCCCCTCCCCTCCCGTAACTATTCTGGCTATAAGGGCTGCCCACAATCGCGCGCCGCAATGATGTCCTTCGTCTCGCCAACGAGCGCTCTGGACATACATACCAGGGCCTCACCTCTGCCGTGAGGGCGCCGCTTAAGAACAAGTCGGACGCTAAGCTCAAGAAACAGCTGATGCAACACTATACATCACATACGCTTGGGATCTCCATATCAATACCGTGCGTTCGTCAAAATAAATGGGCCATCCTCCTCGCGCGCCGGGGTGAGGATGACGTGACTTCCACAGAAACTCGGCTGAGGTGTCAAGCCGATGTACGCCATCACGAACGAGGGCCACCGTTGTGGGACTGATACATTCCTCCTCCTCCTCCTCCTCCTCCTCCTCCTCCTCCTCCTCCTCCTCCTCCTCCTTCTCCTCCTCCTCCTCCCCCCCCCCTCATCCTCCTCCTCCTCCCCTTCCTCCTTCTCCTCCTCCTCCTCCTCTTCCTCCTCTCCTCCTCCTCCTCCTTCCTCCTCCTCCTCCTCTCCTCCTCCTCTCCTCCTCCTCCTGCCCTCCCCCTCCTCCTCCTCCTCCTCCTCCTCCCTCCTCCTCTCCTCCTCCTCCTCCTCCTCCTCCTCACTCCTGCTCCTGCTCCTGCTGCTCCTCCTCCTCCTCCTCCTCCTCCTCCTCCTCCTCCACCTCTTCCTCCTCCTCGTTTTTCTCCTCCTCCTCCTCCTTCCTCTTCTTCTTCTCTTGGACGTCGACAGCGGCATCGCCAGCAGCGTGGAGGAGGCCGAGGCTCACCCCAGAAGGTCCTCGGCGTGCGCGCGGAGACGGTCAAGGTCAACGCCGGTGCCACCAGGTCAGCAGAGTCCCACGGAGTCAAGTGGGACGCACAGAGACATACCAATACTATATGTCTGCCTTGGAGGCGCGCGACCAACATATAGTATACCCCTCTTGTAGTATATCGTTTCCCGAGCGGTGTGGCCAGAAAGCACCCGCCACAACGCATATACTATAAGATTTCTCGGTGCGCGCGTCGCCCCTAGGGGGGCGACGCACACATTGAATAAATATACTGGGGTGACGCCGATCAAGGATTGACCCAGACGCGGGAAAGGCATGGGATCGCATAGCAAAAAGGAGGCAGTCCAGCAGCTCATCAAGGCGCGCTCCATCCATGGCGACGCCATCCTGGCTGGACTCCTCAACACAGAGTCCAACCTGGCCGATATATGGCGGGGGCAACAGCATGGACTCTGCACCCCTGGTTCACCTGCGGAAGATTATTGTCAGCAAGGCCTTGTTGGCCAGCATGGTTGGCTTTATCTTCAAGAACGATGGTGATGCTGATGATGGTGAGGATGATGATGATGACGATGATGATGGTGATGATGATGATGATGATGATGGTGATGATAACGATGCTAATAATGGTGGTGATGATGCTTACGATGATGATGCTAATGATGATGATGATGATGATGATGATGATGATGATGATGATGATGATGATGATGATGATGATGATGATTCTGATGATGAAGACGATGGTGATGATGATGATGATGATGCTGATGCTGATGATGATGATGATGATGATGGTGGTGGTGAGGATGCTGAGGATGCTGATGATGATACTGATAACTATGATGATGATTATGCTGCTGCTGATGATGCTGATGCTGATGCTGATGTTGATGCTGAGGATGATGATGAGGATGATGATGATGATGGTGGTGGTGATGATGATGATGAGGATGAGGATGAGGATGAGGATGATGATGCTGATGCTGATGATGATGATTATTATTATTATTATTATCGTTACTATTATTACTATTATTATTGTTCTGGTCAGCAACGTCTTGCTGACAAGCATGTTTGGCTTTATCCTCAAGGTCGATGGGCACCGGCATGCCCAGGCATCCCTATTCCCCCTGGGCGTGAGGAGGAGCCCGCCGCCGACCGCCGCAGTCAGCAGCCAGAGCGAACCAGCTTCGAACCCACATTCACTCCAATCCTCCTCCTGTCCCCCCCCCTCCTCCTCCTCCTCCTTCTCCTCCTCCTCCCATCTCCCCGCCTGGTGTGTTACACCGGCCTTCCGCTCCGTCACCCCCCCCCTCCCTTCTGATCTGCCGTAGCGGGCGCTTGCGGCAAGTCCACGGCCGCACCTCCTCCTGGCCAGTCGAAAGAGGAGCAGGAGGATGGGGAGGAGCAACAGCAGGATGATCAGCAGCAGCAGCAGCAGCAGCAGGACGGGAAAGGCACCATCAGCGGCAGGAAAGCCAAACGACGAGCAGAAGGAGGAGGAGGAGGAGGAGGAGGAGGAGGAGGAGGAGGAGGAGGACGACCAGCAGCAGGACGGGGGAGGAGGAGGAGGAGGAGGAGGAGAAGGATGAGGAGGGAGGAGGAGGAGGAGGAGGAGGAGGAGGAGGAGGAGGAGGAGGAGGAGGAGGAGGAGGACGAGGTATGGTATGGTATGGCGGGGGCCCAAAACCAGTCTGCGAGTTCAAGCCTCCTCGCTGTCGGAAGCCTGGAAATAGTCCTCGGCGTCAGACTCGGCCACTTCCTGGACCGCACGCCTGCCGAGGTCCTGGGCCGAGGGCAAATCCTCATCGTCCAGGCCAAAAGCACGCAGCACGCTGGAACGGGCCAGAAGGCGGTCCACGGCAACCCCGAGCGCCCGAGAGGCCCCACCAGGGCCGATGTCGCCCTGGTCCAGCATGCTGGGTGTGAAATGCTCTCTGAGCCGAGGTCTACCTTTGGGACGCCGACAGGCATCTCGAGGCGAATGTCTTTCAGCCCAACCTTACTCCAGATTTCGTAATAAAAGGGAGGGGGTCTCAACCCTCCCAGACGAGAAGTTTTAGACCCCCCCCCCGTGGGAGAACCCTCCAAAACATCGTCCCCAGACCCCCCCAGGCCCTCCAAGATAGCCTGGAAGAGACCCCCCCGAAATGAGACCCCCCTCCCTTTATTACGAAATCTGGAGTATACGACGGCCATCGGCCTCCACGAGCTCGACAGAGCTGACCCTGGAAACCCGAACCACCGTGCTCCCTCAGACACGGCGACAGCAGGGCTCGGGTCAGGACCGCCCCAGGAAACAAATAACGAAAAAACGCACGGTTATCGCCATGCCCACTCCGCGCCACGGCCTTCGCATATAGGAGGGGGTTCCCATTCACACTGTAGCCGATCCGACTGAAATCCTCCCAGCCACCCACTGGGTCCTGCAACTCGGCCTGAAACAAACAAGGGTCCCTCGGCGCTGCTGCCCGCGGCCCCGCTGGACGAGGCCGCTGCGGCAGGCGCCGATGGGGTCAGTTGGAGGACCTTCCTCATCGTCACGCGCAGCCCCATCGGCTTCCATGAGGGCGGCATGGCCACGGATGTCGACCCCGCCCCCGACACACGCGTGCAACACCCCCGACCATCTTGCCGCCTCACGGGCCAAGGATTGGAGACCCTTCCGCAAAAAAAGAAACCAGCCTCGCGGGCTCCGTGGAGGGTGGCTCCCTGCTTCGCGAATTCGTCGGCGGTATCGTTACCTTCCTCTGGACGAGCGCGTTCCACTACTCGCAAAGAAACTACCCGCGAATGGCCTGGATCTCCCGCGGGGGTCTACGATAAATTACATCAGAGTAGACATGCGTTATTTCGGACGTTTGCGGGTAGGCACTTTGCGAGTCGTGGAGGGCGCTCGGTGATTCCCCCAGAGAGTCGCGCGCTCGCTGGGCCATCTTGCACGCTGCAGTGGGCCCGCGTTTTCGCGAGCAGCGAAACCCGAAGGGCGAGACATCAGCCCAAACGCGGGCCCACATGTGGCCCCTCGGCTTCCCGACGCCAGCGCCAGCCTCAGGGGCCCACGTTCGAAATCAAGATCGCGCCTTTACAGTCTGTGCAGTTCGGACGGAGGCGCGACAACCCAACGGAGCATCGACGCGGCGAAATCCTCGACATGCCTCGAGCTCTGCAATTCGGGCCTGGTTGATGGGAACGGGCCCGCAGCCCGCTGCCAACGCATCTCCGAAACGGTCGCATATCGCCACCGCCCATCCAGCTCGGGTCAGCAGGGGGCAGCTTGGAAAGAGGGCCGACCCGTCCAAAAACATGAGACCAGTCAGCCTGCCCGACTCGGGCCGCTGGAACCAGTGGATCCTTTCCTGCTCGGAGGCACTCGGGCCCGAGAGGGCCAGGGTCGGGGAGGATCCCCCTCGCAAGAAGTTCTCCATCCTCGAGGGCTCGTCGCTGCAAATCGACCGGGACTCTATCGCGGCGCGGCGCAGC